CCTTGAGCTGAAGAGCTGAGGGACAGCGCCCAGGCCCAGAGTTCAAGCCCCACGACTGACAAAAAAAAAAAACAAAAAACACACCTTAAGCTTTACCAGTGATGACTAGGGTTCATTAAAGCCCTTGTGTGCTTCAGACCTAATGGCCGTCTGCTGTAACATGGGCCAAGCAGGTGCTCTTGCTGGACCTGTGTTAAAGTAGATGCGCACAGCAACCTGGCTTGTTCGCTGTTGAGCCACCTTTTCCAATACCAACAGACTCCTGCAGGCTGAGGACCAAACACCTACGATGCAGTGCGTGGGGTGGAGAAGCTGGCCCAGAGACAAGCGCCGGAGTCGGGGCCCAGGAAAGGGGCTTCACCTCGGCACAGTGCACAAGAAAGGCGCGGCGCCAGCCCACAGGCTCTCGGACAAGTGCATGTGCCAGCAGCTGTTCACAGCAACACCAGCTCCCGTGATGCTTGGCCCTGGCCAAGCGTCCTTTGCCCTCATGGGGTCATGGCAAGTCTCATCAGGGTGGCTAGCATGAAACTCCCAGGACCACAATGAAGAGTAGGGTTGGTCATTTGAGGCCAGAGAGCAACGCCTGGCCCAGCCGACAGTCCCACCTCGGCAGGACAGTGGAAGCGAGTTTCTGGTCCAGCTGCCAGGACAGGACCGAGGACCAAGGCTTCAGGGCAGGAAGCGGCACGAGGAAGGGGCTGGGGCCGGGACGGCAGCTGGAAGAGGGGAAGAGCGGGGCGGGCCGCCAGAGGAGGAGACAGCCCGCGTCCGCTCTCCTGGGCCCCAGGGGCCTCAGCCAGACACGGCGCCCCGGGCTGGCGCAGGCCCCGTGGCCTGAGGACTTGACGCGGACTAGACGCCCCACATGCATGACAATTTTACAGGCTAGCTTTTAAAAAGTAGTTTTATTGTTATTAAATGTTGTAAGGGTGCATCCCTTCCTTTGCGGTCCCCACACACAAGTTACATAGGTCAGTTCCCACAGAGTGTATTCTACAATAGAGCTGATTTTGTTCATCCTTTCCGAAGCCCCCACTTTACGACCTCTAAAGAAAAAAACAAAGCAAAAATAAACACTACCACTGCCACCACCACCACAAACCCAGGTTTCCATTTCCTGGAGTTGGTTTTGTTGTTGCTGTTGTTGTTGGCTGTGGGGCCTGAACTCTGGGCCTGGGCGCTGTCCCTCAGCTCTTCAGCTCAAGGCGAGCGCTCTACCACTTGAGCTAGAGCACCACTTCCCATTTTCTGATGGTTTACTGAAGAGTCTCACGGACTTTCCTGCCAGGGCTGGCTTTGAACTGCGATCCTCAGATCTCAGCCTCCAGAGTTGCTAGGCATGAGCCACCAGTACTTAGCTTTTTTAAACTTTTTATTTATTTTGTCAAATATTTATGAATAATTATTTTATACCTTGCATTTTGTTCCAGCAAACAAGTTCGTTGCTCAAACTATTCCAACTTTGACTACAGAGGCTCTTGTGTAGTTCCTGTATTGTTTTGGCATAAATCATTTTGTTTTTCTGAGTTTTTGAAATTCAGACACTATAGAATGGACTCAATCAGCTGGCTCTCACTAGAGAACACTGGAAGCGATGTTCTCAGCACCGGATATATCCCTTGTCAAGGACCAGGAAGGTCAAGGCCCTCAGTGCACAGCAAACAGCATTCGCTTGCTGCCCTAACCTGTGTCTGTACATACACAACTACCCCATACCATGCATGTTTGAAATCCCAGCACTGGGGAGACTGAGATAGGAGGATAAAAAATTCCACGCTTAGCTGGGCACTGGTGGCTCATGTCTATAATCCTAGCTACTCAGGAGAGTGAGATTTGAGGATTATGGTTCCAAGTCAGCACAGGCAGAAAGTCCATCTTAACCTTCAATTAACCACCAAGAAGCCAGAAGTGGACCTGTGGCTTACGTGGTAAAATGCAAAACAAAAACAAACAAAAAAACCTCAGGGACGTGCCAGGTGCCAGTGGCTCACACCTGTAATCCTAGCTACTTAGGAGGATGAGACCCAGTTCAAAGCCAGCCTGAGCCATCCAGTCTGTGAGACTCTTATCTCAATAAACTACCAGAAAAGTAGAAGTAGCGCTCAAATGGTAGAGTGCTAGCCTTGAGTTGAAGAGCTCAGGCCCAGAGTTCAAGCCCCATGACAGACCAAAAACAACAATAACAACAAAAAACTCAAGGACAGTGCCCAGGCTTTGGGTTCAAGCCTTAGGACACACACACAGACACACTGACACACACATTGATATTCTCTCTTTCCCTCTCTCTCCCTCCCCCCCTTCTTTCTCTCCCTCCCTTCAGACCAAACAGGGCTGAACAAACAGAGAGATCTTGTCTTAAACAAAAGAAAAGGAAATAATACAATTGCCCTGGCTGTGTGTGGGATGTTGATTTCAGGATCCTCTGAAGCTATAAAAACCCTTACTCAAGGTTCCTTATAATACAGTATTTGCTGCCTGGTGTCAGTGGCTCATGATTGCAATTCTGTAATTCTAGTTATTCAAGAGGCTTAGATCTTAGCTGGATGCCGGTGGCTTACACCTGTAATCCTAGGTACTCAGGAGTCTGAGATCTGAGGATCGCTGTTCAAAGCCAGCCTGGGCAGGAAAGTCCTCGAGACTCTTATCTCCAATAAACCACTAGAAAACGGGAAGTGGCGCTGTGGCTCAAGTGGTAGAGTGCTCGCCTTGAGCTGAAGAGCTGAGGGACAGTGCCCAGGCCCAGAGTTCAAGTCCCATGAATGACCGCCCCCCCCCCAAAAAAAGAGGCTTAGATCTGAAGATTGTGGTTCAGAACCAGACCAGGCAGGAAAGCCTGTGAGACTTACCTGGAATCCATCAGTAAAGGCCTGGAAGTGGAGTGTAAGCCTTGAGAAGAAGCTACGGAACCCAGACACTGAATTCTAGCCCCAGACCGAAATAAAAAATTAAAAATCTAAAACAATGTATTTCAAAGAGTATCTATGTATTTGTGTTATGTTTATAGTGCAATTTATGATTACAACGTGTGAGGAGTTTCTCTTTGCTCACCGTGAACCTGGGCTGGTAGCACCTCAGCGGGGCGTGTGTCGTCCAACAAGGACACTACAGTTAGATGATGAGCCCTGCACACCACCGGGCACTGTGACAGCGCTCGGGGAGGAAGCCAGACACCAAGGCGGCCGCGTGCGGGAGCAGACCTCCAGCCGACTGCGGTGAGAAGCAACATCCCATTCCTCCACAGGGACACACAGTGGGCACACAGTATGTGCATCTGCCAAGCCAGTAGGCTAAAACTCTATTAGAAATACAGCAGATTGTCAAGAAAGCCAACGTGAGAAGAAATACACAAGTGGATAAGGTGGTAAGTGCTCGAAGTCGCTGCTCCCTGGAAGACTAAGGCAGGATTGCTTGAGCCCAGGAGTTTGAGACCAGCCTAAGCAATACGGCAGGATAACTTCTCCAAAACTATCAGAACAGAACAGAACAAGTTGGGTACCAGTGACCACACCTGCAAACCTACCTACTTGGGAGAATGAAATCAGGAAGAAAGGTCTGTAAGAAAGACACTATGTCAACAGACACCAGGCATGTTGATGCACGCTTGTCATTCCAGCTACAAGGGGAAGGCTAAGATCGGCAGCTCATGGTCCAGGTACACACCATATAGGAATGGACGCCCCATCCCAAAACTAACCAGTGCAAAAACGGCTGAAAGTTGGAACAATGGTAGAGAGCCTGCAGAGCAAGTATGAGGCCCCTGCGTTCAAATACTAGTATCACACACAAGGGGAAAAAAACCGTAGATCCATAAAATGAACAATGAAATACAAGCTAAAATTCAAAGCTTAGCAAACCAAATTAATTTACCAAGCTTTTAACAATGTACGTTCTAATGAAACATACTTCCTTGAGGGCATCAAAAACTCCAACAACAAAAATCGGCCTGCTGAGTCCCCTGGCTGTACCACTTGGCTGAGGCCCAGGAGGCCTGGTGACAAGAGCTTCAGGGGAGATGCACCTCCGGCAACGGTGCCAGGCAGCAGAGCTGCGGGCAGTGCAGGGTGACCTGGAGAGGCTGGAGCGTCCCAGAAGGAATCAAGGTCCCAGGCCTCCCCAGCTGCTCTGTGCTCTTGAAGCAGGATGGGGAATAGAGAATGTAAGAGTGTCAAGGGTCCTCGTGGTGGAGAGGCGGTTTCTAGTGTACGGGAACAGCTCAGCAGTGCTCTAAGGACTGGAGGCAGTGGGGCTATATTCACAGGAGCGTCCACACCTCTTTTGTGAGTGCCAGTCCTGGGACTTGAACTTGGGGCCTACCTGCTGTCCCTGAGCTTTTGTGCTCAAGGCTAGCACTCTATCCTTTGAGCCACAGCTCCATTTCCAGCTTTTTGGCAATTAATTGGAGGGTTTCGCAGACTCTCCTGCCTGGGCTGGCTCTGAACCTTCGTCCTCAGACCTCAGCCTCCTGGGATTCCTGGCAGCTGGCTTGGCGCTGCCTGTTTTAAGTGTGGGGTCTGCTCTTAGCCTCACTGGGCTGGGGCCACCTATGTGGACAGGAGGGTTCGTGTGGTGTGGGTCAGCTCTTCGGGGGAGGGGCAGACACGCTCTACCTCGCCACAGCTCTTGCCCATGACATCACAGCTATTCATCTCCGGCTAAAATGACTGCTCATGTAGACAGATGGGCCTCTGGCTGCAATTCTAGTCCCAGGGAATGTCTTGAAGTATGGGCAAGTCCTGTCTCTGGGACTTCTTTTCTGCAGGCACCCACAGCTGGGACTTGCCTGTGGACAAATGCAGGTACCTGCCCCCAGATTCACTGCCTCTGCAATGAAGGAGCCAATGCTCCCGGGTAGCTCCACCGTGTCCTGCCTGTGCCGGGGGGGGGGGGGGGGGGGGGGCTGCCTGAGGAGAGAGGGCCGGGCGGCCCTGCCTGTGCCCGGGGGGAGAACAGGGGCCGCCTGAGGAGGGAGGGGGCCAGGCGGTCCTACAGAAGAGATCCAGAGGGCCAGCACGGGCAGGGCCAAGTAGCAGGTAGGAGAAAGGCTGGTGGGCCTGGGAGCAAGCTGGCAGAAAACCCAGAGTACGGGCCCGGAAATGGACGGGAGCAGGGCTTGGGAGCTCCGACAGCAACTCCTTACAGAAGACCTAACAGCATCCAAAGACACAGACCCTTAAAAGGCCGACCACAGTTGCTCTTTTATAGAGGCTGCCACTTGTGTACCAAGCCAACCACACTAGTGGCAAGCCACTTGGTGTGACCTGGTCACCTAATGGGCACGGTGACACACACAGAGGCCAACCACACCCACAGGTGCACACACGTTCACCAGCACCTTGCTTAATTCTGACCACAAGCACGAAGACCCTCATTTGTCAAACACAAAGTGCTGACCCAGAATGGTCATAACCAGAGGTTATGACAAGCCTAGCAGCTAACCAGGGCTGACCGGAGGCGTTTACAGACTTCCAGCATTTTCCTCTGCCTCCTCAGACCCCTGCCCCCCCCCCCCCCAGTGGCTTCCCTGAATAGGAAGCAGCCTGGGCAGACACATAGGCCTGAGAACCATAGGAGGAAGGGGATAAAGTCTGTCAGGTGTAGAAAAATCAGGACAAAGGAGAATGTTCTGGTGTTGCTTGTCTGCACACATTCAGGACTGGCTGAAGATGGACAGGCCTGTGACTAGCCTGCTCTGGAGAATCCTGAAGTCAAATACTGCCTAGCCTCTCAAAGTGGTCAGTCTTGGTATTGATGACCTCATAGAACTGTGTCAGCTAGAAGACCCCCCACCCCCACCCCCACCCACTGCTGCAGCTCACTCTGGTCCCTGCAGTGTCAACTATGGCTCACTCAGAGATGACCACGCACCCCCGGGGCGCCTCAGAATACAGAAGGGGAGGCTGAGCGCTCAGCTGTGAACAAGGACGGGAGGACACCACTCTCCCCACACCAGGCACAGTTACCTCTTAGTATTGTAGGCTGTGTCCTGAGGTGTTTCTTCCAGGAGGGTCACATAGCCCAGTGCACAGGTGAGGATGAACAGCACAGTTAAGGTGTGAGCTCGCCTGAATCCAAAAACACATAGGAATAACATCACCAACTACTCACACGAAACACAACACACTAACCACTCTGCAAGGGAGAATGTGACCTTTACTTCCCAGCTGACTGACTGTACCTGTGGATGCTAGAAGGTTCTTCAAATGTTGGCCCCACAACATAGGCAGACATGGCCATGTTACTAACTTAAGGTAAAATTAAAACCTGGAGGCTGGGAAGTTGGCTCAGTGGTAGAGCGCTTGCCTTGCATGCCTGAGGCCCTGGGTTCGATTCCTCAGCACCACATAAGCAAACAAAAAAAAAAAGCCGGAAGTGGCGCTGTGGCTCAAGTGGTAGAGCGCTAGCCTTGAGCTGAAGAACTGAGGGACAGCGCCCAGGCCCAGAGTTCAGGCCCCATGACCGGACCCAAAAAAAAAAACAAAAAACCTGGAAGCCCTTTCCCCATACCTTAAAATAAACATGTATGTATATACTAATGAAAAATAGAAAAATGAAACCTGCTGACATTATTTAAGGAAGGTGGTACAGGCAGCATGTGAGAGGGAGTGAGTTTCATCACGACGCATTACACATGTATGGAAATGCCAATATGTACAATTATTGTGTGCTAATAAAATCTTTCAAACCAGGTGCTGGTGGCTCAGGCCTATAATCCTAGCTACTCAGGAGGCTGAGATTGTTGTTCAAAGCCAGCCTAGGCAGAAATGTCCCTGTGGGATTCCAACCCCCGTCCCCGTCTCATTCCTGGGGCTTGAACTCATGGCCTGAGCACTTGAGCTACAGCGACAGTCCTGGCTTTTTGTGTATATGTACTGAGGAATTGAATCCAAGGCTTCATGTATGCTAGGCAAGCACTCTACCACTAAGCCATACTCCCAGCCCCCTGAGAGACTCAAAAGCCAGAAGTGGAGCTGTTGGCTCCAAGTGATAAGAGCTCTAGCCTTGAACAAAAGAGCTCAGGGGAAAAAAAAATCTTAAAAAAATAATAATAATGGCCCCTCTGTATTTTCACAAAAAAACCTTATTAAAATTAAAAATAAAATAATGCTTATCAAAATGAACTCCAAAAAAAAAAATAATGGCTTGCTGGGCACTGGTGGCTCACTCCCGTAATCCTAGCTACTCAGGAGGTTGAGATCTGAGGATCACGGTTCAAAGCCAGCCCGGGCAGAAAAGTCCGTGAGACTCAGATCTCCAATAAACCACCAAAAACCTGAAGTGGCGCTGTGGCTCAAGTGGTAGAGCGCTCACCTTGAGCTGAAGAGCTGACAGCGCCCAGGCCCAGAGTTCAAGCCCCACAACTGACTTCAGCCCACTGGTTGTGTGGGTGGGTGGGTGAGGGGGGGCTTGAACTCAGGGCCAGGGTGTTGTCCTTGACCTTTTTTGCTCAAGACTAGCATTCTACCACTTTAACCCACAACTTTACTTCCATTTTTTGGTGGTTAACTGGAGGTAATAGTCCCATGAACTTTTCTGCATGGGCTGGCTTTGAACTGTGATCCTCAGATCTCAGCCTCCAGAGTAGCTAGGATGACAGGCGTGAGCCGCGGCACCCACCTTGTCTTCTTTACTTTTCACTAACACAATAACCTTCCTGTAGTTTAATTAGTTTGTCTGATAAGGGCAGCCTAGATCCTTATCCACCTTGGTGGGGGTGTTACCTTTTCTTTCTCCTAAAAACACAAAGATCACCTGAAAAGTGAGTAACTCTTTGCCCTTGAGGTAATTGTTCACCCTGTCATTCTGGCAGTAAGTGACTGCCTGGTCCTCCCCTCCCTGGAGAGGCCAAGGCAGGAGGACACCGGGCTGGAGACACGGAGGAAGGGTTTAACAGATTCAAAGTAGAGCAGACTCCAGAATGCTGCCCCGCCTTACTGCTTCTTGCTGAGCACACAGCACATGTGTCCACACAAGTAACAAGACTCGGGAGCCAGGTGGCCCTGCTCTGCCGGGAAGCCACATCTGGGTAGGGCACATCCTTGCTCCTCCCAGATGTGGAAAGATATGGAGAAGGTCTGTTTGGGGGGGTCAGGCAGAGAACTGCTTTATATAAATTCTGGGACTTTAGTTATTCTGCAAGGGAGTGGGTGAAGACAGCTGGCCCCTTGCCAGGAGTGGAAAAGACCCGGTTGTCATGCCTCCAGAGAAAACCATGATCGTCATGCTGAGTGGGAAGCAAAGCAGGACTGCCAAGACCAATCTGCAAACACACAGGGATCACCAGGGAAGGGCCAGAGCCTGCCCAGGCTGTGGCACTGACCCTCCGGCCTGCTGACCGAAGACCAAAAAGGCATCCCACTGGCTGGTCATGCTTCCCACACCTGGGCAAAGCTGGGAAAGCCCTAAGCCACACTGAGAGAGCCATCTTCCAGAGAAACCCGGGCCATCTATAATGACATAACCTTAGATTCCATTAAACGGCTACTTAGGAAGCTGTGGTAACAGCAATACCCAGTCACTAAGAAGGCTCAGTGGGCCAGATGCCCGTGAGGATTGTGGTTCAAAGCCAGCTTGGGCTGAAAAGTCCCTGTGAGACTCTTATTTCCAATTAACCACCAGAAAACCAGAAGAGCTGTGGCTCAAAGTGGTAGAGAACACCACTATCCTTGAGAAAAAAAGCTCAGGGAGAGTGCCCAGGCTCCATGAGTTCAAGCCCCATGACCAACAACAACAACAAAAAGGGCTCCCTAGGCTGAGCACTGGTGCCTTACACCCAGAATCCTAGGTGCTCGGGAGGCTGAGACCTGTAGAATTGAGGTTCAAAGCCAGCCAGAGCAGCAAAGTCTGAGCAAAAGCCTCCATCTCCAATTAATCAGCAAAATGCTGGACTGGAGTAAGAAAGCCAAGTAAGAGCAAGACCCTGAGTTCAAACCCCAGTGCATGCATACAAAGTAAGCTCTGTAGGTGGCAGCTGGTTTGGAGGAGTGGGATCTAGATAGGTACTCTACTTTCTCTTGGGAAGTAGTCTGCAACATTCTTCCAGACAGAGACATGCACTGATACAGCTCAGCATAGTATTTTTGGTTCTAAACCACTCCCCCCCCCATAGTCCCCACTGGACTTCAAACCCAGACCTTAGACCTCCCTATGGCTAACCAAAACCCCAGAGAAGCCATTTGAAAATGGAAAACCTAAAAACAGACTTTGTTCATGCAAAATTCTTTTGGTGGCCTTGGACCCTCAGGTCATTAAAAAAAATATTTTTTGTTTTTGGTTGATCATGGAGCTTGAACTCCGGCCTGGGCATTGTCCCTGAGCTCTTCAGCTCAGGGTGAGTGTTCTATCACTTGAGCCACAGTGCCACAGACTTTCCTGTCAGGGCTGGCTTTGAGCTCGATCCTCAGATCTCAGCCTCCTGAATAGCTAGAATTACAGGAGTGAGCCACCAACAGCCGGCTTCAAAAATTTTAGATTACATCTTCACATTTTTTAGGTAATATTTTCACGTTACCCTTTACCTGTGTTAACTTTATATGACATTATCCAAATTCTGTAAGACACAAAATAAGAGTACTGTTACTATTGAGCTTTTTTGAGATTAGGTCTTACTATGTGGCCTGGGTTGGCCTTAAACTCCCTGTCCTTCTGCCTCAGCTTCTTGAATGCTGAGATTACAGGTGTGTACCACCTTGTCTGGTTTTAAAAAAGAAAAAAGGTCAGTGAGGGATAGTTCAGAAGCATGGTGGCACACGATTCAGCAAGGAGCATCAGTAATGCTCACTGGGTAGGCATCTGGTAAACTCCAGAAAGAAATTTGAAAGACTTCCCCTCCCCGCTCCAGCCCCGTGTGCTCCTCTGCGTAAGCAGGGGTGGGGCGGCCAGCCCCACAGTCTCTCCTGACTCGTCTCTCAAGCTCTCCTAGGGGGAGAGTCCGGAGAGCCGCTTGTCTACACTTCCACAGACGAGCACCTGCCTTTCTCGGGGTGCTCCAGCCTTAACCACGTCGGGGGAGGGCAATGCTCCCAATTTCTGGGTCTGCACATCTGTCACTCTTTGGGCCCAGTCCTCAGATCCGAGTCCCAGCCCCCGCCCCCACGGATGGCAAGAGCACCTCGCCAAGTAAAGGAGTGTGGGAAAGGGAGGTGATCCGGCCACTCCTTCCAGAACTGTGTCTCCAAGGAGTCACCTGCTCGGTTGTGGGAGGCTGGTGTCCTCCAGCCGGGGGTGGTTCTGGATGGAGGGGCCTGAGATCCCCAGGGGTCAGAGAAGACCAGATGCCACGCTCTGAGGCCGGGCACACACTGACTGAAGGCTGCGCACCCTCCGGAAGCTGTCCGCACCCCAGGGTAGCACTGACCTAAAGGTCCACCCGGGGCTCCCCTCCGTACCCCGCGGAGCTGTCACCCCTACTTGCGAGGCGCCACTCAAAGGCGCTACCTGTGTGTCGGCCCATCCTCCTCCGCCCCATCCCGCCCCTTCCCTCCGCCGGCACGGGTCTCCGTCCGCGCACAGGGGCCCGGTGCTCTCCACCAGGGCGCCTTCTGGCTTCGGGATCACGCGGGAGGAAAGGTGCGGGGCTAGCCAAGGTCACGCAGGCCGCCGGGCGGGTCTGCCCGGAGCGGGGTCCGCGCCGCAGCGGGCGCCCGGGACGACCGGG